TGATTAGGGTTGCACATTAGTCAACATTCGCGGTCGCAATCTGATCTTAACATTCAGGCGAATGTTCGGCGTTAGTGTACTAGCTTAACTAATATGGGTACATTTCCGAAGAGAACCTACGATATCGGATGAATTACAATATCAAGACCCTATAGGTATATAAAAATATATCGGTTTTTATTTGGTTTGATAATAAGTTTAATATCGTTTTACAATGATTTTAATTAATTAATAAAAAACAACAATATTAACATTAACAAATCTTTTTATTAATTTTATCCCTTGTATCCACTTAAATATTTAATAACCTATTAAAAATGAATGATACTGTGAATTTAAGATCAGGCTAAGTAATTTGTGCTTACCATATCAACACTAAGATAGTAAGTTATTGAAAACTGCATTGTTTTTCTTATGTTTTGGTTATTGTTTTTTTTTGTAAATTTTTCATAACTTATAATAAATTGTGTTTTTGTTTTTATATATATAGCCTAGTTCATTATTAAATATTAAGAATAAAAAAACGTATTCTACAGAAACCAATTATGATACCATAGGAAAAAAAAAATAATCGATATATCGAACCGAACAAGTTTTAATATATATGTAACTCATTGATCCGATAATATAACTTATCGTCTAAGTTCTCTGCGGAAGTGTAAGTTATAGTCCAAGCAAACTACAAAAACAGAAACTGGGATCGTTAAAAAATTTGCAAGAAAACGTTTTATGGTTTTATTTTGTAGTGTTGGGTGAGCAGAGTGACATACTATAAGTTGCCAAAAATCGGTCCACGGAAAACCCCCGAAAATCACGATTAAAAATGGAGGCTTTTCCCAATAGGACAAATTTTGAAACAAAATATACCACATATATTTTATGTGCACATAATTTTGATAAATTGACTTAGACCTACTGTAGGCGAGAGTTAAGAAGTCCTCTGAGCGAAGGCCTATTCTAAAAATGCAGGCGCTTGCTACTCGAGGGCTAGGCGCGCCGGGCGGTTTACTCATGTTCCACGCGGCAGTCAGGGCTCACATCTACTGTGTTAAAACCAAAAGAGCACCTGCAAATACAGCACGGAAACATACAAACATTGCTGCATATCACTCTGGCTCAGAGGACTTCTTAACTCTCGCCTACAATAGGATCACCGCCGATATTCATTGGGTGGTCAGTACCTCATTTCAATAGGGAACGTGTTTCTGGACGCCATCTTGGATCTGCAATATTGGATATTTAAATAAAAAAATTTTAACGTGGGCCTAATGATAGTGTTGTAACACATCATTATAAACTAGATTTTCCCACTTTGATTTAAATGCCGAAATCCTTTTTTAAATATCTTTGTTCGTTTTTTAAAGATATATTCAAGCGAAAGCTCTCCCCTATAAATTTCCTATGGACATTTTATACTTTGAACATTTTTAAAGATTGTTTTTCTTATATCTCCCGTTCTTATTAACGCTTGTAGTTTGTTCTAGCCTTAAAATATTCACTGATGTAAGGGCTTTCATTTGAGCTATTGATGATTAAAATCGTACGAGCTAGAGACAAGCTACGAACACCTACATAATATTAAATTTAACTTTTTATAAATCAGTTTTAAACAAAAGATTTATATCTTGGGTGGTTGATATGTCACCGAGATCTTTATGGTCTCAAATTACTCAGTAAATGTTTAGCTTTAGGCCCAGCGCACACGGTGTGACTGTTTTACAACTTTCGTTGCAAACTAGTAGCGAGTGCAACTGTTTTGTGACCTCGGCAATGTATTGCAGTGGGGAAGCGCACACGACGCAACTGGTTGCAGGGCCGCGTTAAGGGTCAGTGGCGCCCTGGGCAAACCCAAAAGCAGCGCCCTCCCTTATATATATATATATATATATATATAACTATAAAGGTTTTGACCACAGCAGTGTAGGGAGGGGAAGAGGGAAGGGGGGTTGACTCATCAGTTCGCCGAAATTCACTGCAGGTGGGTTGGGGGTTGGGGTGAGTGCAATGAACTTGACAGTGGTTGCTATGCGAATGCCTCTTGCCCTGCGCCAATAGCGCACTACGTAGTGATGTGATTACTGTTCAGTACAGTACAGTGAGCAGTTCATTGTATTACACACGTATTGAACGAGATTCCACCAAGGAGTATGTTTTTTCCATGATTCTACTACAGGCCTATGAATATAAATATTTATACATTTGCGTGTTTTTTTACCAGTTTTGTTTCGGGAGGGAGTTTTCAATTCCGTATCAATGGAAATACTGGTTAATATATTTCACTTTCTTTAAACCAACCGCTTGCGTCTCTCGGCTGTACTAGGTATTTTATGCATTTTTCACTGTTTATAGGCCTACTTGTATCAACACTTCTCTATTTATTTATTACTGGTTCACTAACTGCAGTGTGAGTGTCAACACTGACTAGTGACTGTCACAGTTTAGGTTGTGTTGTGACTGATTAAACTGATATGACGCTGTGCAGCAAGCACAACACGAACACAATAACCTACTGACTACTGAGGGAGGAGTACTACTGTACTGGACTGGCACCGGGCGGTAGTTGGTAGTTGTGACTTGTGGGGATGTAGGTGGGACTGGGAGGGAGAGGAGGGGCACGTCAACCGTAGGCCTGTAGACTACAGCTGGCCTACATGATATTCCCGTAATTTGCTGACGTTACCCAAATTGCAAACAAAAAATCAGCTGATGTATTGCCATATAAGTATATATTTGTTTTGTTTTGATTGTTATTGTTTTACAATTTTTCTAAATGGTAAAATGGTGTTTGCAATCTGAGTGAGGTCAGCATATGATGGGAATAGCACACCTATGTATTTTCCTTCTACCATGCAGGCCTCCCTGCCTCTGATAGTATAGTGAGTGCGCCCGGTTCACACTGCTGCCTGCCTTTCCCTGACTACACAAGGTATAACCTGAAGGTCGAGTATTTTCAATTTTGTTGTATTTATTTACTTTTGCAATAAGGGAAAATCACTTAACTAGAAGTTGAAATCACCCATTTTATTTTTAAAATCCCGGCTGATAAAACCCTATTTTTCCTAGTCCGGGCGGTGGTTCAGGGCGCCCCCCAACCACCGGCGCCCCTGGGCATATGCCCAGTCTGCCCGTTTATAAAAGTGGGCCTGACTGGTTGTATGCGATTTCAAAAAACATTTGAAACCAGTTGCATTCAACCGTGGGCCCGACGTTGCAGTTGCGTTGCAGACTTCAGTTGCACGAGACCACGGGGTGTTTTGTGGTGTTTGGTGGTATTTTGACGGCCGTATAGTGTTATTAGTGTTTATAATTTCCTATCCGACTAGCTCTAGCTGCTACAAACGGCCTAGTACTAACATTCTTGCTCAAATAAGGGTGAACCCAATGCTCTCTCAGTACCCTTCGCTGTCTTCGGTATTGATAATAGCTAATAAGTCTTCTTCGTCTGAGTCCGACGTAGTAAGCGCACTTAAGGCCTTAAAACATCGTAACTGCACTAAATTTGCACTCCACTGATTGCACAATAGACGCAACTGTAGTTGTAAAACGTAAAACAGTCACACCGTGTGCGGACAGAAGTTTTGTTTCAGTTGTAAACTGGTTCCAGACGCAACTGGTTTGCAACAGTTGTTGTAAAACAGTCACACCGTGTGCGCTGGGCCTTAGTTTTATTAATCACTAAATCAAATCAAAGAACTTTAAAATGAGTCATGGACCTTCATTTAACATTACATTATTTTTATTTTTTGATTTGTCTTTAGTTTAAGACATATCCCCAATTACAAATAACTCCAAAAACTCTTTATAAGTTAGTCTTAAATAATTTGTCAAAGTAGGCCTACCTGTTGACTTTTATTTTTGCTATGGATTACTTATTGCGAGTTATTTAGAATTGGGGATATGTCTTTAACTAACGACAAATTGAAAAATGAAAATAATGTTAAGTTAAATGAAGGTCCATGACTCATTTTAAAGTTCTCAGATTTGATTTAGTGATTACCCTAATATAAAAGCCAAACATTTACTTAGTAATCTGAGACCAGAAAGAACCTGGTGACATATTAACGGACCCAATAAATATTTGGAATAAAACTGATTTCTAAAATGTTAAATTTAATATTGTGTTGGGGTTTGTAGCTCGTCTCTAACTCGGTCGATTTGAATGATCACTGAATATTTGAAAGCTAGAACGAACTGCAAGTTGCGTCAATAAGAACTGGAGATACCTATAAGAAAAATAATCTTAAAAAATGTTCAAAGTACGAAACATCCATAAGAAATATGGTACTTACGTATTAAACGGAGGCCACATTTTGTCAGCGCGCTGCGGCGGTTATGTTAGGTTGGGTTATCATAATAGAAAGTATAACTCGTCTGGTATCGATTCATAACGAAGCGAGGAAAGTCCTACACACATAATATTTACGATAACCCAACCTAACATAACCGCCGCAGCGCGCTGACAAAATGTGGCCTCCGTTTAATACGTAAGTACCAGAAATATATAGGGGAGGGCTTTTGTTTGAATACCTATATCTAATACGAACAAAGATATTAAAAAACAGATTTCGGCATTTAAATCAGCGTGCAAATCTAGTTTATAATGATGTGTCACAACACTATCATTACGTTTAAAAATTTGTATTTACCATACCACCCAATAAATACCGGCGGTGGTCCCAAGTAAATTTCTCGAAAAATGTGTATACAAAATGTATGTGGTACGGTAACTGATATTTTTTCAAAATTTGTCTAATAACGCAAAAGCCGCCATTCTTAATAATGATTTTAGGGGGTTTTCCGTAGACCGATTTTTGGCAACTGTACCGGTACCTAAATTATGTCACTCTGCCTGCACACCCACCACTAAATAAATAAAACTATAAACTTAAAACGTTTTCTTGCAATTTTTTTAAGGTCATATTATATCCAAGACCATTCCGACTATTACCCACAAATTAATCTTAGGATATAGGTAGGGCCTACAGGTATTCCGTACTTACCTGTTTATAAAGCTTTTCAAACTTGTGACATACACTTTGTTCTGATGGTAAAAATGTTTGGAATTCATTAACTTGATTCAGTTCTCATAATGTACCAGTATACTAACTTAACATGACTGTTCATAAATATCACAATTTTACTTAGCCTATTATATACAAATTTAACGAGTCTTGAATCTATGCCACAAAAAACATTCTTATTTTGTGTCTTTATCTTCCATCACAATGTCGGCATTATTTGATTCTTCAATGGCACTACTCTTTTCTCTTGAATCATCCATATCTTCATTCTCATTGCATTGAATTAATTCTTCTTTATCAGACAAGTCACTGACACTACTTGGTGATGATGTTGTACTGTCACTTTCAGAATCGACAGAGCTGACAGAGGAGGACCTATTACGCCTCCTTAACCTTTCATTTTCAATTTGTAATTTTTCGTTCTCTAATCGCAGTCTTCCTATTTCTAACTGAAACTGTTTGATTTTGTCTATTGGCAAGTTACTGACAATCTCTTCACCACTGATGCCATCTTCAGTCAAATTCTCCGACATAGATTTTATTTTGTCATCTTTCTCATTCTTTAATCGACTACCTGTACCCAATCTTTTTTCCAATATATCCAATTTTTCTTCCAATTGCAATACTTGTTGTATCAACTCAGGTTTGCTCATACTTTGTAAGGTCTCTACATGCAGATCTTGGTAAGTGTTAGAAAATTCTTTAGTCAAAAACTCTTCCTCATCTTCTGGTGATGAATAAAAATGGTCCTCATCTGAATCAACACTTGTAAAACTGGGATCTCTAACTCTTGGGGACCTTTGATGGCCAATATTAGCTGTTGGAGGAGAATTAAGTTTTACAAAGGTATTGTGATCTTCCATAAGAAACTCATTAGTATTATATGGTGCATCTGCATGACGGCATGCAAAACGAGGTCGATTTTTTGTTCGATTAACTGCTTTTCTTGATTCATTACCTTCTTTATTATAAGGATTTTTACGCTTGGGCTTACCTCGTCTTGTTTTCTTTTTTCTTTCACAAGGTTCTGTGTCAACATTTTCATTCCCGCTAGATTTTAAAACGTGCGAGTTCATCGGTTCTCCGCCAGGTAGCACTGATGAATCATTTGATTCGTGGTTATTTTTTACAGAGCATTCATCCGCCATAGCAAAGCTTTCTTGACAATCATTAACAACAGCCATTTTTATGCCAACTTACCTATTGGAACACTATTAAAAGAGACGAGTAATCACTTTAACACGATTTCACCTGATGCATTGCACTCAAAATACGATAAAACTCACACAATTCCTCGCCACCAAGCCAACACGACTTCACAACGACAGCCATTTCGATTATAGTTCTGTTCTCTGCCGTGGAAACGGAAAGGCGGAACGCTAGTGTCGAAGTCGAACTCAGTAATCGGAAATAAACCTATCATAGCTTAGTTAAAATTATGCAAAATTTGCCTTTTGATAAATAATTTATTATGAAATAATTCATTCATTCTTCTGTGTATGCTTTTAAGCCGCGTTTACACCGGAGTTTGAAACACGAGTTGCAAACAGAAATTGCAAACATCTCTAAAAACGCACATTTTTAGGCGAAACATTTCGCTGTTGCAAACAGTTTTTCAGTGTTTGCAACAGAAATTTTTGTTTCCACTTGAAGTCGGTAAAGATCAAAGGGAGTTGCAAACTCTCTGTTTGCAACACTAGTTTCGGTCAATATGAGCCGTTGAAACACGAAACAGAAAGATTTCTCCACCATCCCCTACGCTGCCACCTCCACCTCACTCACGTTATCACTCGCACCACCATGTGTCTCGACTCAGTAAATTAATCGGAAAAAATGCTGTTTGATTGTCAATGAATTAACACTAACCTCAAATGACAAGGTCGTCTAATTTAAAAATCACAATAACGTCTCATGTGAATTAAAAGGGTTACAATTAAGTCCTTGTAATCTTTAAAAATGAATAATAATTTTAATTTATGTTCACCCAGCATCGTCTCGGCCTACGTTTCTTTGACAACACGACACACGCCGCCGTGGCTAAAATAACATCCTCTACACTTGAAATCCTTGGAAGGACTGATCCGAGGAACCAGAACGAGGCGAGTCATAATCAAGGTCGAAATTATTTCAAACAATTTCATGAAACATGGAAACAAATCATGAAATATAAATTGCAAACATTTATTTGAAACTACTGTTTGCAACTGCTGTTTGCAATAAAAGTTTGCAACTTTTTGTTTGAAACTCCGGTGTAAACGCGGCTTTAGAACACAAGGCAAAACTGATGCCATAATGTACAGTGTACAGTACCACCGTACCAAGTACCACAGAACATTATTTAAGCCAAAACCATAATCGTGATTTATGTTTCGTACCCCTGTACGAAAACGCTAAATATTTTCATTGATATAAGTGTTGTCGGATTGTACACCTTTTCCACATTTATTTTAGAAAATATCAAAAGTAAATTAGATTAGTTAGTTGAATTTGATAACTATTGTTACTGTACATGTACCATAACAGTGACGTTTTGAATACGGTAACTTTTTGTTTAGGTCTTTTTTAATGATCCTAACCATGAGAAACGCGTCTGGCCAATTTCGTAAATAAATTTTATACAAAAAATATGAACACTTTATCCTCTTTATACGGTTGTCTCTGTCTACTTGCAGTACCCAACTCAAAGGGATGTCTGCACATTCAAGTTCTCAAGTCAATTGTACATCTCTTGCTCACGTCAATGGTATATGAACATGCAGTACCCAAAGTCAATGCTGCATTTGCTTCACATAAATGAAATGGGACGTGTAGTCTTTATGTGAACGCATTTATTTCTAGGAGTATTTTAAGACCAATATTTACAAAATAACTCAAATAAAAATTGAGTTACGACGTATCATTAATTGCAGATAAGTCATAGAATAATAATTATTATTGTTGATTCGTGATTCTGCAGCGTGCTTCAGGTACGTCTGACATTAAATAATCAAATGCTCAAATTGAAGCTGGTATTTCTCTGGAGTTCTTAGACCAAACCATATAGGATAATGTAATTAGAACTGGCGAAAAACATCCTTTAAGAGTTCGGAAAAATTAAATTAATGTTTTTTTTTAGAGTAATACCTACAGTAGATAATGCATGATGATGCTTGATTGCAAATGTTTGCGGGCATACCTTTAATTCAAGGCCAAAATTAAGAAAGTCGGTCGGGTAGAAGATTCAAATGAGCTCGGAAAAGAATAAACCAATATATTTTATTTATAGATTAGTACCTAAATTTTATGGTAACCAAAGAACCATAAGAGTAGATGGTACTTCCCCATAAGGAAGTATAACTAAATAGAATACAGTGTAGTAATTAATTGGATAAGGTCAATAACTATTTATAGTTTTAAAAGTAACAAGAAGGTGCCTGAGACGAAAAAGAAAGAAATGGGGGTCAGAGGGGGAATTTGAAGATGGAGCTGGGTTTCCAAATTGTTTGTAAGTGTCAAAATTATTTTTGAGTTCAAATTATACTACACTTTTTCTGTCAAATATCCATTGTGGTAAATAAAGTCTTTTTCTACTTCCCTATGGGGAAATTCGCTAAAAACTATTACTACGTTACGAAATGCATTAATCTTCTGGGTTGATCAAATAATTTAGGGGTGTAGTGAAATTATTATTTAGGGGTTCTAGAGTGAATACGGCAACCTGTTTTGGATATATGTACACATTTAGATTGTCATAGCATCCTGAAACGCATTTTCCTAAACTTTTATTTATTGTTATCCAATTATGTTTGTAAGCAGCCAGAAAGTGGGTTTTTAGACAAATACAACTAGATCGAATGACGTGACGAGACGAGTTTAAAATTACGGCACTGGTACTGTACAAGGGAGGCAGAGCTTTGGTGACTGCGACGTCGTGATGTCACAGATGCAAACGCTCCAACCGAACACAAACGATACCATATCCGGACCTGCCTCATATGACTATGGCTACTGTAGTAGTCATTGACTACACGTATATTGTAGTGAATGGAATAATCTCTACCCCTCGACATAATATCGCTCAAATGTAGATATTTGTTTTCCAATCATCAATTTTAACACTTTATACGTTTGCTGCTAACAAAAAGCTTATTACATCTTAATCCACAGCAGGTCACTCGACAACGGTCCGCTGCATCTGTGTACTGGCCACTGGGTTTGTGATGGAGAGAGGGGGGGGGCTCACGACCTACGTAACTACTGTAACTACAAAGTCTATGCTACAAGCTAAGTTAGTAAAGCAAGTTAGCAACAACTTGCAAGAATTGCTCATGAAAAATCTTACAAACGGCAAATGCCTGACTGAGAGATGATCACTATATCTCAAAACATATACGACCTAGATTTATCACATTTGGTATAGGGGCCAGGGGTTGTCCAGTGTAGATGTACCGACCCGACCAAGTATAATAGTACATTAGTGTAAAGTCGTCTTTTAGCGCTGCAAAAGTGGGAGTTGCTTTCTACTAATGCGTTTGTGTACTTCTCAAAGTGGAATTAAAATATTCTCGCACCATATACATTTTATGGGTTTATACAACATTATTTAAAGGCAGCCAACGATTTGATGTTCTTTACTATGGAAAAGTTTTAAGTCGGAAACACACAAACCGACAAACGTCACAAAAACAACATTCTACCGTAGCAAATAACTATTTATTTGAAGGACCGTACACAATCGTGTACACTTTATAACAGTGAAGCAAGTACAGTAATATTAGCTAAGTAAGTTTGGGCCCTCGGTGGTGGTGGTGAAGCCCTTGTTTGAGGGTATCTAATTTCCATACGTAACGGTTATAGGATTATGTTTCGGGGCCCATTATGTTAGTGTTGAAATAAGTCCTCTCAAATATTCGAAATTGATAAAAAAAATGTTGATCAACTAAAAAAAATACAGAACAATGAATCGAGTGCCACAAAATACATACTGTATTTCGAAATCATACCAGTTCATGTAGTATGTGTATTCATCAATAAAACAAATGCAAACCCTTTTATTACACAGTGCAGTCTTTATTATGTTTATCAAATTATCACATTGGCCAAATTACCTGTTTTACAGGTTGGGTATATTCTCCTAACTGTAAGTATATACGTACAGTTTGCATCACTGCGCCTACTATTGCAGTCTAGTGTCGCTGCGGCAGTATCAGGATGGCAGAACAGTGTAGCAACTACGCTTCATGTACATATCCCACAACCACAACAAATTCGTTTCTCTGTGGCCACTGGCCAGACAATGAATTAATGAATAACTAACTAATTTACTATATTCCAGCGAAAAAGTAATTCAACAGTCCGACATACTGTCTACCGTAGTCGTAGGCCCATTACTTTAAGGTATTTTTATGTCAAAATATTATAGCGTTTTTGTTTTTTATATAGTCATGTTTAACTTCTAACTTCATGTTTTACCAACGGGTTATAAACTGACTGAAGAAGGTTTTCATTATAAACTGTTCCTTGGGTAATGGTGCTAGCGCAAAATCAGGGGAGCAGGACGCTATAGCAGCTACAACAATATTACAGCATACATGAGAATATTAGCGTAATGCTATAGATTCCTAGATATGTTTTTGACTAATCAGCTAGAAAACTAGTCCAATGTACTTGTCGAAATTGCTCGATAGCTGTTATTCAAAATAGCTGTATCTGCTGTTTTTATAAAATTAATTAATATACTTATTCGAGACGAATTTAGGACCACATGGTCCATTAATACAAATTAACCTTATAAATTACCCCATAGTAAATTTACTAACAAACTAATTTCAACGTAGTATTCGTTGTTACATTCCGACGAATCGTTGGAATGTATCGTCATTCACTGGCTTGGCTTTGGAGCGAACAATGAAGTAAAACAGTAAAACGGTAAAACTATCCAAGTGACGCGTGTACTCACAGTTGTTGGAGCACATGTAGGATTAGTCGTGATTATGTCGGAGGATTTGTTAATAGCGGTAGTTGCTTGTCGTACTGTTGGTCGTACTCGCCGACAAGACTGCTTTCTATAGCCCCCCATACACTATCCAACATGTTGGACGGACATGTCGGGATCCGACGTCTTGTCGAACATATTGGACAGTGTGTGGGTTCCGACCCGACATGCTCGACGGATATGTCAGGTCGGATGCTCGGTCCGGTAGCACCACCCGACTCGAGCCGTCCGTCTGACATGTTGGACCCTGGACCGTGTGTGGGAAACAGTCGACTAGCCACAGTTTCCAGTTTAACTTGTATTTAGCGAGTTGTGCATGATAACCGTACCATTTTTCCGTAATGTCATTTAATAATAATAAAC